ACACACACACACACCTGTGTGAAGAGGGAATGTGAGGGAAACTCACGGTTTGCTCTTGGCTCTTATTCTCAGGGCGATTCTGCAGAACAACTGGAAGGAAGTCGTGGATCTCATCCTGAAACCTCGTCCTGGAGGTCAGATTCTCTCATTAACAACACAAATAAGTCAAGTTGATTTATGATGTGGCTATTACAGTACAGATCAGCTTTACAGCAGTAAACGGAATATAAGGTCAGTGCTGCATAACTGCAGTCAGGAATTTCAGCTATAAAGCAGCTCAGCAGACATTATTCAGTCTTTCAGTGACTTCACTGGATCATTGCAAGCACAGCTGAATAGATTCATTTTACTGAATAATAATTCTCTGTAAGCTCTCACTGATCGAGCCAAAGGTGACCGGAGTCAAACCTCCATCAGGTGACTTTTCTCTAACCATAGTGGAGAAGAAGAAAAAAAGATCATAACCAGACTATTAAATCATTGTGCTCCTACTGTTAAAATGACTTGGCAAATATCACTGGCTGTAATCTTAATATATCGACCCCCAAAATCTCCTGATTTTTTCTCTGATATAAGTGAATTACTTACTCTTGTCTGTGCTAATCATTCATCCGTTATTTTGCTTGGTGATTTTAATATACATGAAAACACTGTACAATGCGATGAATTGATGTCTGTGCTGGATTATTTCAATCTAACCCTGCATGTAACTTTCCCTACTCACTCAAGGGGTCATATACTGGATCTCATTTGTACGTTTGGCTTACTTAATGTTCTTGTTACTGGCTCTGATTTGCTTTCTCTGATCATAAGCTCATAAACTTCAGTTTTAGTTTTTCATTATTTAGATCACCTATGAAGAATATACTTACCTAGCTATTCACAAGCACAAGTTCTGCATTTGACACGGTTATCTTTCTGATATCGGTATCACTGATTCAGCTCTTTCCTGGCTCGTTTCTTATATCGGCACGGCAAGTTTATTTATATAGCACATTTCATACACAATGGTAATTCAAAGTGCTTTACATAAAAGAAAAGAAAATAATAATAAAAAAAATAATCACAACAATAAAACAAGGAATTTAAAAACTTTGAAAATGATTTAAAAATTGATTTAAGAGGTTTAATTGAATTTAAAACAGTTAAGAATAGAAAACGATTATACATAAAATATAGTGCAATCAGTTAGGACAATGCACAGTGTTCATTCAATAAATGTGCATCTAAACAGATGAGTTTTGAGTCTGCATTTAAATGGGGCTAATGTTTTAGCACATCTGATCTCTTCTGGAAGCTGGTTCCAGCTGCGGGCGGCATAATAAACGTCATCTGTACGGAACATCATTGTGTATGGAACATGGTTGGTCTACGTTACCCGAAAAATTCCCATACGACAGACAGAAAAGTTCCAGGGATTCATCTTCGGCCATCCTACACACAGGTGACTCCGCTCGCACCAACCGGAGGGGCTGAGGGGGAGGGGTCGTGTGGCTCGCTACGCTCTTCGCTGCACACAACTGAGGGAGTCCTGCACTTTCCGTCTTTGACGACACGTAAAAAAACTGCGCATACCGCAGGAACGGTATAACGGAAAATTTTTAGTGGTTTTGAAACCGTGACTTTTCCAAACCGCGGTATACCTTGAAACCGGTTATCGTCCCATGCCTACTCTGAACTGCTGTTGATTTTCTCCAAGCTGATTTCTGTCTGCCAGTCTTCTTGCTGACTTTCACAGAAAATATTTTGTCACTATACAAGGGTGTAGATCCACTACTGCTCCACTGACACAGGGTGTTCCTCAAGGTTCAGTTCTCGGCCCGCTACTGTTCATCATCTATATATATCCGCTTGGTAACATCATACGCATGCATGGATTTCTATTTTATTGCTATGCAGATGATATCCAAATTTACCTTACCACCAGCTCTGCTAGGCCATCCATACCTGACTCACTTACTGCATATATCAGGGATATCAAACACTGGATGTCCCTGAATTTCCTTAAACTAAATAATGACAAAACTGAAATATTGATGATTGGCTCTGCTACTTCAATAAAAATGATGGACCTGTCCTTTGATGTTGATGGGATTTGTTACAATTTGTGTTGGTGTTTTATTTTAATCAACTTTATCTTTTGACTCTCATATTTTCACTGTTGTTAAAAAATCCTTCCACCTCTGTAATATTGCACGTCTTCCATCTTCTCTTACTCTAGCTGATAGTGAAATTTTAATTCATGCATTAATCACATCATGTCTGGATTATTGCAATTCTTTATTTGGAGGCCTTCCCAAAAAATGTATTGCAAGATTACAGTATGTTCAAAATTCTGCAGCAAGGGTCCTCACCTCCACCAGACGTTCTGCTCGCATTACTCCTTTACTACATGATCTTCACTGGTCACCAGTATCATCACGTATTCACTTTAAGTTACTGCTTCTAACATTTAAGGCTCTAAATGGTCTTGCACCACCATATCTGGCTGATCTACTCCACCCATACTGCCCTGCCCGGTCTCTGAGATCTTCTGAACTTGGCCTTTTGTCCATCCCTCGTTTTCGGTTGTCTACTGTAGGTGGAAGGTCATTTAGTGTTAATGCCCCTAAATTATGGAACTCATTACCCCTTAATCTTTGTCTGCTTTCAAGAGTCAGTTAAAAACATATAGCCATTATCCAAAATGGTACATATTAAACAGATATGTTGTATATGTGTTTATATTGTGTTTGTGTCTATATTGCTTGTGTGGATGTTCAAAACTACTTGTTATATGTAAAGTGACCTTGAGCTATGGTAAGGCGCTATATAAATAAAACTACTTCTTCTGTCACCAACACTGATTACATGATGGTTAATGAGTTCACTGTGCAACAACACGGTGCTGTATACAGTGGGTACGGAAAGTATTCAGACCCCCTTAAATTTTTCACTCTTTGTTATATTGCAGCCATTTGCTAAAATCATTTAGGAAAGCCACAGCAAAGTCGGTCTGTTTCGAGAGAAACACCTTTACTAATGGCAGCGTAATAGTGCTAGAGAGAGTGAGTGTAACTGAGTGTCTGTGTGTCCAGCGGAGAAGGGCTATCTGGTGAAGTGCAGAGAGGAGTGGGCTCGCTCTCAGGACCCCGAGGCGGCGCTGAAGAAGCTGCCGGTCAAACGCTGCGTGGAGGGTCAGTTACTGAGAGGCCTGGCCAAGTACGGCAAAAACAACATCATCACAGCCTTCGGACTGGTGAGAGAAAACAATGTTAACACGTGCTCAAAACACACAGCACATGCAGTGATCTGACCATCTTTATCCTGCTTCAGATCCCTCGTAACAACAGGCTGATGTACATCCACAGCTATCAGAGCTACATCTGGAACTGTGTGAGTGAGTGAGTGAGTTTGAGTGTGTGTGTGTGAGTGAGTTTGAGTGTGTGTGAGTGAGTTTGAGTGTGAGTGAGTGAGTTTGTGTGTGAGTGAGTGAGTTTGAGTGTGTGTGAGTTTGAGTGTGTGTGTGTGAGTGAGTTTGAGTGTGAGTGAGTGAGTTTGTGTGTGAGTGAGTGAGTTTGAGTGTGTGTGAGTTTGAGTGTGTGTGTGTGAGTGAGTTTGAGTGTGAGTGAGTGAGTTTGTGTGTGAGTGAGTGAGTTTGAGTGTGTGTGAGTTTGAGTGTGTGTGTGTGAGTGAGTTTGAGTGTGAGTGAGTGAGTTTGTGTGTGAGTGAGTGAGTTTGAGTGTGTGTGAGTTTGAGTGTGTGTGTGTGAGTGAGTTTGAGTGTGAGTGAGTGAGTTTGTGTGTGAGTGAGTGAGTTTGAGTGTGTGTGAGTTTGAGTGTGTGTGTGTGAGTGAGTTTGAGTGTGAGTGAGTGAGTTTGTGTGTGAGTGAGTGAGTTTGAGTGTGTGTGAGTTTGAGTGTGTGTGTGTGAGTGAGTTTGAGTGTGAGTGAGTGAGTTTGTGTGTGAGTGAGTGAGTTTGAGTGTGTGTGAGTTTGAGTGTGTGTGTGTGAGTGAGTTTGAGTGTGAGTGAGTGAGTTTGTGTGTGAGTGAGTGAGTTTGAGTGTGTGTGAGTTTGAGTGTGTGTGTGTGAGTGAGTTTGAGTGTGAGTGAGTGAGTTTGTGTGTGAGTGAGTGAGTTTGAGTGTGTGTGAGTTTGAGTGTGTGTGTGTGAGTGAGTTTGAGTGTGAGTGAGTGAGTTTGTGTGTGAGTGAGTGAGTTTGAGTGTGTGTGAGTTTGAGTGTGTGTGTGTGAGTGAGTTTGAGTGTGAGTGAGTGAGTTTGTGTGTGAGTGAGTGAGTTTGAGTGTGTGTGAGTTTGAGTGTGTGTGTGTGAGTGAGTTTGAGTGTGAGTGAGTGAGTTTGTGTGTGAGTGAGTGAGTTTGAGTGTGTGTGAGTTTGAGTGTGTGTGTGTGAGTGAGTTTGAGTGTGAGTGAGTGAGTTTGTGTGTGAGTGAGTGAGTTTGAGTGTGTGTGAGTTTGAGTGTGTGTGTGTGTGTGAGTGAGTGAGTGAGTGAGTGATGATGATGATGCTGACAGAATCTCCGGTGTATTTCAGGCTCGGCTCATGTTCTGTCCGCTGATGAGGCAGAGAAACACTCTCTTCATGACGTGGTGATGCCGCTGCCGGGGTTCGACATCATTTATCCCACTCACAGCGGTGAGGCATTCTGGGAAAACCTGGATATATGAGGAAGCCTCATTTTAGAAGTGTTTTTTTAGACCTGGAAAAGTTAGAAAGTTCATAAAATGGTTAAATGCCTGTAATGAATGTAGATGCATGTAGCCCGGTCAATCTTTAAAATATTTTAGCGTGTAGATATTGCGAGTAATCGTGGTGGTGGGTGGGGGATATAGTTGTGGTTTATTTGGTGGCACAGAGGTTAAGAAACACGGAGAAGGTTTGAGGAAGCAGCTCTGCTCGTCTGATTGTTTCTCTCCAGATGCTCAGGTGTGTTTTCTCTCAGTGCTGTTTGATTCCTCACTGGTGTTCTGGTCGTTTGTGCGTCTCCTGCAGTGGGCGGAGGCTACAGAGACATGCTGAGCGCTGATGACCTGGACATCGAGAACATGAGGCACAAGGTTCGGGATTACTCTCTGGCCGGCGCTTACAGGAGGATCCTCATTCGGCCCAGAGACGTCAGCTGGTGAGTGAGCTCCAGTAACTCTGCTGCTGCGCTTTGAGCTGCAGCTTCAGTTCTGACCCATTCCTCTGATCTTTCTCCTCCAAAGGGAGCTGATCCAGTACGATGATCCACGAGTGCCTCTCGTTCACACAGATGTGGAGAAACTAGAAAACGCTCCGGCTCCGGTCTACCTCAAAGGTCCAAGACACACACATTTACTCGGCTCTCTAGATAGGGACGCTCTATAGACTTCTGTTGGTTTATGCACTGCCTGGCCCAAAAACATCAGTCTTTTCACTGGACCGCCTTGAGCTTTGATCACAGTGTGCATTGTTTCCAACATCACAACATTTATTTCCATCAAGGGTTGCGTTAATCTTTTAATATTGCCAATGGGAGAGTAAAGTCTATGTCACACCCTAAAGACTGTCAGTGGGGTTAAAGGTCATGACTCTGTGGTGAACTCCCTGAATTATTCTTGCACAGTTCACTATGTGTGTGTATTATATATATATATATATATATATGTATATGTGTGTGTAATATGCATGGTTGTGTGTGTGCAGAGGGGAAGTATGGGGCCCTGAAGATGGAGTTTTCTCTGCCGTCCTCCACCTACGCCACGATGGCGGTCAGAGAAGTGCTGAAGATGGACACCAGCATCAAGAACCAGACTCGGCTCAACAGCAGCTGGCTGAACTGACCGTCACAAACACACTCTGGATCTCCCTCCGGCTGTATTCTGCTCAGTACATCGCTGATCAAGACGTGACTGACGGATGTGTGTCGTTTCCACACCGTGAAGAAGCTACAGCTCAGTTTATTCAGTTTTAGTGTTGTTTTAAAGCTCTGCCAGAGTATAAAGACAGTTCTTAAACACATTTCCAGAGCTTTAGCATAAATGAACATATTCTGGTTCTTGTAAGGTTAATTTTGCTCTTTGATTTATTATTGTAATGTTTGATTCCTGCTGAATATTCAGTTTGTCAGTGTAAATAAAGAATCTGCCTGATGTCTGTGTTTGGGTGATTGATCTGTGGGTATGGATTCACACTCGTAAGGCCGTTCTCACGCAGAGCAATCGTTCACCACACCGCAGACCAGCTGAAACTGCGTTCCTGTGGACCGGTTCTTTTGCTTTGCTTTCTCATTCTGAGAGTAAATGGGCCTTTATGCATTCTTGCTCATAAAAGAGTCAAAGCATTTTCTCTGCACTAGACATCTATGAAAGGCACTAAAGATTGAACCTGAATCACATGAATTATTCTGATCAGATGAAGTGATGGATGTAAACCATGCTGTTTTCCTCCTAAAAGCAAACACATTGATCATGTTCTCGTGCGTGCAGGATCAGATTGTCGTGTTGAGACGTGTAATGTGTTCTGCTCCATGATAATGCTGCGGTGAATCTCTAACATCTGATATCTGTCCCATGAGCCTCCGTCTCACTAACCTGTCCAGCGCTGGCACATTCAGCTTTAAATCAGAGCAGACCCCTGTCCTGCAGGATAGAGGAAGAAGGAACAGAGAAACTGTTTAGAGCTGACAACGTAATCAGTAGAAGAAATATTGAGATCCCTTAGTAACTACTGATACCAGATTGGGGGAAAGCTACTAGTCATATTTATAACCTTAGCTAAAAGCATAGTTCACCCAAAATGACAATTCTGTAAGTAAAAGTACTATCTTGCATACTCTTAATATACTGTACTTAAGGTACCCAGAGTAAAAGTAAAGGTATGTACACATTGTAAATCGTTTCAAATAATTATGATTTAGTAACTAGTTCCACAGAAATGTTACGTTCTCTCAGTTTCTCTCCTCAAAGTGTTGCCTGAATTGTTAGCTTTTAGTGGATCAACCTTTACTGAACTAGTTTTATAGTCCATTCAACAAATGTTTTAATTAGTCAAACATTTAGAAAACTACAGCAAATTATGTCAATTAAAATGTAATCATTCACTCCATGTGTTTTATATGTTACCTCAACTAAGATTGATTATTTGGGCATCATAAGAAATTGCTGTGGAACTAGTTATTACATTTTATATATTTTTATAATTTAACAAAATGATTAACTGGTGTCTATCAATCACTAAACACACACATTATAGCCTTTATTTAATAACAATCTGCATTTATAGCATCACAGACTAAACATGAGTCTTGGATGGCCCGAGGGTCAGTAAACTAACAGCACCTTTTCATTTTTGGGTGAACTCCCTTTAAAGCTCCCACAAACACTGCATCTGTAACACAACTGCACAATTCAGTTTAAACTGTTTAATGAACTAAAAGAAGACTAAACAAGCTAAACAAAATGTTTGTGTAGCCCTGGGTATAATTAATCGATTAATACCCATAATACATTGGTGTGATTTAAAATAAAATGAACTAACGTTCTTATTTTTATTTAATTTACAATGTATATGGTTTTGTTTCTTGATATAGTTGTATGTAGCCTATGATGAGCTATATGTTAAATTGAGTGTTCACAGTGTAGAGAAATCATTGTTACAAAATCAACGTATGATTGTATTGTTGCTTTAATTTGCATCCCTGCTGTTGAAGGTCAGGATTGGTCGAACTGTCTGGGGGGCGGGGCGAAGGAGCGAGACGGAGAAACAGGAGAAGGGTTCCTGCAGAACTGGAGGCTCGCTGTTTTGTGACAGCGCCACCTACCGAGTTGGAGCACCAAAAACACCGATATAAAGATGGACAGCAATCAATGTGTGAGTACCGATTTTTAATTAAGTTTGATTTCATAACGTTAAAACAATGCAATGTTTACATAGTTAGCAGCTGTCATTTTGGCTATGAATGAATGAATTAATTCCCACGAATTAAGAATTTGTGTGCTAGTTTTATTCATTATTACGACGTTCTTAATTCGTGGCCATGATTTAATTAAACCTTGTTGACTTAATGACTGTAATAAGTAAATCTAGCCAGCACATTAATTAAACTTAAAAAGCTGATAAAAGCATGCTGATGATGTGAGATGTGTCAGATTTACCTGTAGCTTACTGCACTGGATGTAAATGTTACGTAATTAAATCTGTATTAACAAGAAAATGTTAAATTTGTATCTTTACACGAATGCAGAATAATTCACAACTAGATATATTCGTTCAAAATACAAGACGTTGTGTATTTTTTCCTTTACAAAATGTATTTACGTAATCTCAGCCAATCTTCTTAGGTACACACACATAACAAACAATAACCTTGTTTTATTTACTCAGTACAAAATAATGACTTCCCTTCGCAACCCCAGACGAAGAGAAGCACGCAGACAAGGTAAGAGTAAAGTTAGCAAAGTGATGTTATAATTGGTTGTCTTTACAGTTTTCGAGTTGTATGAAAAGAGGCTTTATTTATGTGTAATTTGAAGATAACGTTGTTGTACGCGGACTAAACTATGCGAGAGAGAGCAAGCGCGAATCCTGGCAGCGTCACTTCCGGTGGCGTCCCCAGCTGCCACGAGTCGTTCTGCTGTTTGCGCGGTAAAACTACACTGTGTTTACTATATACAGCGGCGTAGCCATCATTTCAGAAGTGCGGGGGACAGAAATGTTATATATATATACACACACACACACACACATAAACATTGTATTTTGCCTTTTAAATGTAATTACATTTTTTGTATTTTTACACTAACTTGATGAGATTTATTGGTTTTGATAAACAGAATATTACATAGTGTTTTTACGTATTTTCATATTTATTCCAAAATAATAACAAAAGACAGTAACAATATAAACAATATATTTTATTTGTCAACTGATGTTCAGCTGTTCTTTTTAGCTTTACCAGCGGGTGTCGCTGTTGGACAGTTACTTTGTAAAAACTAGTGACTTTTACACTTTTTAATGTCACATTTTGTAATACTTGCGTTGTTTTATTTTTGTAATATCGATAACTTTCTCATCCAGTTTTTTTTTCTAAAGAGACTCTGCCTCCCTTGCCTTGACTGATGGCAGAAGCCGTACAACACAAAGATCAGATATTCATTCATCTTAAATTATGATCCTTGCGGAAGTTGCGGCTTTGAGGTTATGTAAATTTTGGTAGGTTATTTTACATTCATTATTCAAATTAATAAAGTGATGAATGGAAATTGGGCAGTTCAATTAAGTATAGAATTTTTGTAATAGCTACAAAAATGAAAATGGAAAAATGTGGGATCACCGAGAAATGAAATGTTTTTTATTACAATTGTATAACTATCGATAACTTTCTCATCCAGTGTTTTCTCTAAAGAGACTCTGCTTCTCTTGCCTTGACTGATGGCAGAAACCGTACAACACACACATCAGAAATACATTCATCTTACATTATGATCCTTGCCGAAGTTTGAGGTTATGTACATTTTGGCAGGTTATTTTACATTCATTATTCAAATTAATAAAGTGATGAATGGAAATTGGGCAGTTCAATTAAGTACAGCATTTTTGTAATAGCTACAAAAATGAAAATGGGCAAATGAGGGATCACCGAGAAATGAAATGTTTTTTATTACAATTGTATAACTACGGTTTTACTACAAATAACATGCTTAAACTATGGTGAGTGTAGCAAAATGTTTTAACTGTAATAACCTTTTTTATTTCAATGTCACATTTTGTAATACTTGTGTTGTTTTATTTTTGTAATATCGATAACTTTCTCATCCAGTGTTTTCTCTAAAGAGACTCTGCTTCTCTTGCCTTGACTGATGGCAGAAGCCGTACAACACACACATCAGAAATACATTCATCTTACATTATGATCCTTGCGGAAGTTTGAGGTTATTTTACATTCATTATTCAAATTAATAAAGTGATGAATGGAAATTGGGCAGGTTTCTTCTGTGCATATGACCCTAGACAGAAGACATAATACAGCGACTGGAACGACTCATATCTGTGCCTGGGACTGCAGCTGTTTCTAACAGAAGTGATTCTGCCTGAGGTGAGCTAGAGAGATGTGTGTACTACATTAACCATTAGAATAGGAGTTTCATTTAAAGCAGAGACATTGATAAGCAAGTGATGGCTTTGAGGCCTCTAAAGCTACGGGTGGCAATATAACAATCAGAGATTATATACCAAGTACAATCAAACAGAAGCAGGACTTCACACTTCTTCTGTAATTGTTGGCTTCCTAACTGCAGTACTTCAGTATAAGCAGCAACTTAATTGAAAAGCTTAAACTGAAATCTTAAATGTGGTTAAAGTTGTCTGTTTGTCACATTAAAATGAATACTGTACGTTTCTTAGGTTCTGATTGATTGGTTGCAAGCGATATATGGCCGAATCTGTGCTTCTGAAGTGACATCTATCGAAGGAAAGAAAAGGTAGAGGATGTTTTTTCAGTGTGGGTGTTCATATTTACTCTTTGTATAGCATCTCTAAACACATTCCTCCTGTCAGGACATTAGGAATCCATGTCAAGCTGATGCCGTTGTAATTAGGAACCGATTTTCTTTTCTTTCCCCAGTGTTGCAGAGATCAGAACGGGTGAGGACACAGAGAGCACAGAAGAGGTAACACATTTTTAACAACAGCCCCCCACCCTCCACAAACTAACCTCACTTGAGTCATTCAGAGGCAACACCTAAATGAGGGAAGCCTATAACCCATTCACACACATCAACCATTAATTCATCTTAAATAATGATCCTTGAGACTTTGCTTTGGATGTTTTTGCTGATTATTCTACATGCATTTTACATCATTTTCACGTGTCATCAAAAAGAATAGAAATGGAGAATAATATAAACATGGTGCATGAATGAAATAACATTTTTGTAATATAAAATATCTGGCAAATATCTGTGGGATTCCTGATAAATGATACATAACAGTTAAATGAATTAATTCTAAACGAACTGGATTT